CGTAAATGTGAAACCACTACTCACGGTATATAGCCCCGCTCACGACCCCACACCCGACCACGTGCCCACCCACAGCCTACCGCTTTTCGTGGCTTAGCGCGCATCGGTCGCATGGTTGTAGTACAACTTATCGCGTGATATTTAATTCACAGTTTGCCCACCAGGGTATATCAGTTCTCTAATTCGCAGACGTGATCTCTGAGGTCTTGGGTATAAGTGAGTAGCTGTGTTCATTAACAAGACCTAAACTGGACAGGGACGCAACTTACCCCAAAGCAGCAAAATACCGATTTCTTCCTAGATTTAGCCTATTTTTATATAAACTCTAAGGGGTTTGACCCCCCACCAACTAAATAGAAAACTACACCCCTGCTCGAGGATTGTTTTCTCCTCAATTGGAAGTAGCTTTTGTGTAGTAGCCGGACCAGAAACTGCTCTCACGCCGTTTAAGTGCACCACAAAGCTGTGCCTGCAGGTTGCGCGATTCGGAGGGTTAGCCCGCTCGACAGTTAACCGCAGTTAGCAATGCTGACTGCAATGTTAATTGCTGGCATCGTTGACATTATCTCACTCAATACCAGATACCAGCGGCACCCGCGATTTTGGCAAGTGTTTCACCCGCCACGGTGCGGGACTCGCTTACCACCGCGGTGGGCATTGTACACACAAGCGGGAAGGAGCTAGGGCAGCCCCTGCGCGTGACGCAGGCCCGGTCGCACCGGGGCACCAGGTTGCGCCGACACGACAGGGTGGTTGGTTCGGAAACCTGTCGCCAGGCGGCCGTCATCCGGCTTGGCTGCACCGGCACTGGAGCCGCAACGGGACCGTTTGGTTGCGGGGGCAGGCGTACTAGGCATCCTAGGTGCCGCAGCCGAGCTATGCACAGGCGTGAGGAAGCAAACGTCCCATTCCGGGGCGAGCACGAGGATGGGACGTGGTAAACAGCCACTTGGGGTACTCCCTGCCATGGCCTCTCTGGGAAAGGGTCTTGTGGACGGGCTAAAAGGAGGTGGGGACTCCACTATGTGGTGGGACTATGTGTTGCACACCGAAATTTGGCTTGTATGCAATATGAGCTTGGTATCGGTTCATTAGCCAAGCTACATTCTAAGGTGAGCGTTTATGTCTAAGCAGCTGGAACAAGTGGGCAATAATCTGAACCGCGATGCATAGATGTGGCCAAATGGTGCAATGTGATATTGTGCAGGTAACTGCTAACTTGGCGCACTGGCCAACGGCGCGAGGACTTCACAAACGCTGAACCGATCTTTTCCGGGCTTGCCACACATGCCTTGTGGCGAGCAGAGCAAGCATCCAATAATCTGAACCACGATGCATTGATGTGGCCAGTTGTTCCAACGGGACGTTTCGCGGTAATGGAAAGCTTGACGCGCTGGCCAACGGCGCGATAACTTAACATTTAGAGAGTCACGACATCAGGGAGCCCCCTTTATTCGTACGCGGGGCGTTTAACCAAGCGCACACGATGTCAATTGGGGGAGGAAGGATTCTCCGTCGGTAATGTAAATCGCGCACCGACTGACGTGACCTTTCTTGTGTAATCACGCCTCGATGACACATTGCTCACTGCCGAAAGACTGTCCGTAGTGTGATAGCCTGTATATGGCATCCCGGGAAACAATGCTCGTGTCGAGTCGGGGGGGGGGGGGGGGGGGGGGGGTGGGGGAGGACTGTGTGCTTTCGATACCATGGTTTATGGTTATATGGATACCATGGTTCGATACCATGATATGGTTTAGAGCTTAAAACGGCAGGGTATATACACACATTATATAATTGTGTTTACACTATCTGCTGGTGATAGAAATCGATCTACAGACATGTTATGTTAGGTTCAATTACCCCTTTAAAGAGCATTACCAACTGCTGCCGGTCCGCTGTAGAGCGATGGCCAGGATACATCGGCCTGGGAAAAATACTTATAATCTCGCGAAGATCGTGACTGTGAGCCGGCGATAGCGCTGGTATGCCGGTTAACATTATATTCGGTCGACCTTCCGACAGCATCTCCCCCAGTGCTGGCCGCCGTCCGTACAGGCGATTTGCAAAGTTCCGGCGCCCAATTCGGAATTGGTTTAGTTGTGTTCGGCGGGTGCAGCCAGGTGCGCGCGATACCATTGAGCGAACACTATAAGCCGGTAATATAAATCACTCATAGGCAGACATGACGTTTTTTTGTTCAAATCACCAAGTCACCAGCGCAATGCTGACTGCGGCCATCATGTCCGCATCGTGGTGGCAAGAATATGGCAGCCCAGAATCTTTAACTTAATTAACCTTTAATCGCGCATTCGCACGCGGGGTGCCACTACGTTTATTCGAGAGCGCTGGTCTGGGGCAATCAGCTCCCAGTGCACTATACATTTCCGATTGGGGAATCCATTGCATTTGGTCGCTTAGCCTACAGTGTCTCACTATCTTGGCGGGATGGCCAGAGCTGCAATCTGCAAAGTTACGGCGTCCAATTAAAAATATTATTATCAGTGCTCGGCAGGTGCCATTACGTACAAACTATATGATTGTCGATGTATTCTCTGCTAGCTATGTAAATCACATATCAGTCAGCAAAACCTTTTTTAAATCACGCCTTGACGGTGCAATGATAACTGCGAACGGCTTACGCGTAGCGTGATGTTCAGAATGCGGTGGCACGGACACAACTTCTAAGTGAGCGCAAAAAGGTGCGCTGTGTTCCTTCGATAGCGTCATTATAAAGACTTCAGCCGTGAGAAGAAAATACACTTGTCTGCTCAACAAATTTATTTTGTTCCGTCAACCCCCTCCCCCTTCAGCAGTGTCTGAATCTCTCTCAGGGCTGGAAGACGTGCTCCCGGCACCGTTCTGCGAGGATCACGGCTCCAATTTGAATTAATTTTAGACTTGCGTGGCTGGTACGACCGTAGGCAACCGATGTCACTGTCGAGGCACTATCGACCCGCAACATAAATCGCTCATCGGTTGACAAAACACGATTTTGCTTCAAATCATCGTTTGACGACGCATTGCTGACTGCGGTCAGCCTACCCAGTCATTCAATAGCGTTTGTAAAGTGCCATCAGCTTCCAGTGCAACACACTTGTCAACTGAACCCTCGCTCTGACTCGCCGTTTTTCATAACGCGTACTGAAAGGGGGTCGATGCGACCTACTGGCGTTTCCAAATCAGTGAAGATATATTTTAGCTAATCATACCAGTGGCTTGGTCTCAACGATATGTTATATGTACTTATTAATAAAAGTGAAATAGATAAATCAGATAATCTTTTGGTATGTTTCTAGGTCAATAATTGCCCCTATTACGTCACATTTTTTTCAAATTTTCCAGAACATCACACTCTCAGCTGTCCAACATCGTACACATGAGACCGCGCCTCGCAGCGACACACAGCGTAATTAGACGTATTTCTTGTTTAATTTTGAGTACAATGGTCATAATTGGATGTGTTTTTGGACATATATTTATCATAAATGCATACATCAACGTAACAATGTCGGCCCGCCGCGCGCGTTCCGAGGCCTCGTGGGTTGCCGCCCGCCGCCCGAGCCAGCCGTAGATCACCGGCACTGCTCCTCAAAAACTGCCGCTGCTGCAAAACCATAAAAGTAAGGAACACGTTCGTGAAGTCAAAGCACGCGCAGTAAATGCCCTAAAGGCTACTGAAAATTTGGGCCGAACTGCCCAACATGCCGGAGAGGCATTTTCGAAAAACTTTAGGGGAGCGCATCGCCCCCACCCCTTCTAATGGCAAGGCTTGCACTATTCAGTTTATACGATCAACCCTGCAACAGCGTCTCACTGAATGCCGGAAGCCGTCCTCAACGGTGATTTGCTAAGTTCCGACAACCAATTTAAAATATTTATGTATTTGTACACCGCGGGTGCTTAAATAAGACCATGGTATCACCGTGGAAGCATTATCGTCCGGAAATGCCAATTGCGCGTCGGTCGACATGGCTTTTTCTAACCATTCATTGGCAAATTGCTTACTGCGGCCGGCCTGCGTGTGGCGTGAGGGCCAGACTACGGCACGGGAAGAATGATTTAATTGCGCGAAAGAGAGCAGCTATGTTCATACGATAGCGTTGGCATGGTGCTATCAGTCGGCGGTGCAACACCCTCTTCCGTTTTTGGTTTCCATTTTTCGGTCTACGCGCCGAAAGCGTCTCTGTGAGTGATGCCGGCCGGCCGCACGGGCACATTGCGATCCTATAGCCTCTAATTTAAAATTATTTTGCCGGGTACAAGCGTACACACACGACGTCTTAGTGAGAGTTTCGGTCCGCCCTCCCCTCACAAAATCCTGGATCCGCCCCTGCTTGGAACCAATGACTGCGGATAACCGCTGTGACCCAAAGATGCGATTTTCTGGTGGTTCCCCCGCACATGACAGTAGCTAGTTCATCATTAGGAATTAGGATATGTTATCTGCCGTTGCCGCGCAGTGTCGCGCCCGGTTAAACAGTTTCCCCGTATAAGAATAACGACAAAAGAATCTGAACATTGAATGGCAGAAATCCAGAACGTGGGGATGGGACGGCACCAAATTCCAGGTAGCATTGGCACGTCGAATACGCCTATCAAGTTTTCAACAGATTGAGATGCTTGCCTGGATTCTGATCAATATTTACACAGCTGGGAACTCTCGAGTGATCAGAGAATCTGCGCCCCTCGAAGCCGAACTATCACTTGTGCCAAGGACAGGAAGTTTTGTCACAGCCAAACACCGACCAGCGAGCGCGGCGAGTTACTTTCGACAAGGCCTCACATTCTGATGCTGGATCACCGAACGTGGGTCAATCAAAGTGCGCTCGTCCGGTCTGATGTGCAACAAATTGTGTGATGTGCTATTTCCGCATATTTGTCTCTTTCCCGAAGAGTGAGGGCGGCTTCCGAGATGATGTATTTGCTTCCATATTCCTTCACGCAATTCCTGCGCGTGAAAGACGAAAGTGCAAAGTAGGCAGGAAATGTAGGTGGTATTTTGATAACCGGCTTACAAGACTGCGAACCTGTTTGAGCGGGGTAGTGTACCACTGCGGTACCATATGTGTGTTGTCCAACATAGGCCTCATATATTGTGTGTAGTTGGTCGCCTTGTTATCATTAAGTGGCACGTAACTTCATTTATTCTGTACACATAGGCATCGCTTGCAGTGATTGGGTCTGATTGCAAATAGGTACTGAGTGTGGCACATATTACCTGTTGGATCCTGGGCAGGTGATTGAATTGCCATTCTGTAGCTTGGGGCTTAACTCTTCTCTCCAAAAGTGTCCCTTACAGAACATTTATCCACATCATATTGGTGTGTTTGGGCTACTTATTGAGTGATCATAGGTTTGTGTGAGTCTTGACACATTGTATTATTTGTTGTATGTTCCATGTTGCAGCTTACATGGAAACTGATTTTGGATGGGTTTTTGCTCATGCCAACATATTTTTCTCTGGTGAAAATGAGTCCAATTATTGGTTGTTGATGCACATAAAAAACCAACACTATTGAAATATTTCCCTGAAACCTTTTTCACTTAAGTTACCAACTTTCAAATTATTAAAATGGCTGTAGAGATTTTCACATCTCTCCTTCATGGAAACTGAAAACTACACATAATAGACATATTGCCAGTCACATTCCAGCTCTGGGTTACTACTAAGCTAATGGCTGTCCTACTCAGATATGTTACCTTACTTTGCACCATTTATAACAGGATGTGGACCTGAAGATAAAAGCTGTGAGTTTGGCTCTGAACTTTGGTGGTAAATTTGCTCCAAGTTTACAAGAAGAGGACTTTTTTCTGAAAACATCTTGTTACATAACAACACCATTGTAAGATTGGCTGCCTTTAAATTAAATGCCAATTCAGTTATCTGTTGTATTTGGATATACATCATCACATAACATGTATTAGGTTGCATCATGTTGAATAAAGCTGTTGATTGAATTGGCCCAATTTTTTCTGATAAAACTGTGGGGCCGAGGATTAGATATGAGCAGTGCGCTACAGTTTTTGTAACAGGCCCCACCCTATTCCTAAACACCTTTTTATTGACTTTCATCATGATAGATTTGACTGCCATGTTCAACGTATTGGTGTGGGCTTCACGGGGAAGGGAGTGAAGAAGGGACGAGTAAAGAGAGCATTGTTTAAACCCTCTCACTTCTCATTACCCTATGTTGCAAAGCTAATCATATGTTGTGCCATAATTGGGGGTTTGGAGGGGCTGCCTCCAGCCTCACTTTCCACACTACCACCTTACATTCTGCATGTTTCCATGCAGAAACTTGGATTTGTGGTGATGGGGAACTTCTTCAAGGAAGCATCCCTTTCTGACTTGCTAGTGGGAACCCACTCCCAGTTGTGGGATTTGGGTTCACATCATTGCTGTGACCAGACAGCACTGGGAAAGACTTTGTTTGTCACCCAGTGTTGCAGCCTGGTATAATTTGGTAGCATGATACCTTCGCAAAATGATGTGATGGCATAGACAGCCACATGAAGACAAGCATTTGTGCAAATTACTTTTATGCATTGCACATTGGAATGTCTTTTGCATGACATTTGTGTATCTGTCAGTTACATGTCATTTAGTGCTATATCCATGCCTGCATCTGAATAAGTTACATGCCCTTGCTATCATTGGAGGCTGGAAATTGCTTCATTACTACAAACAGGTGCTTGATATATATATATATATATATATATATATATATATATATATATATATATATACTAGCCAGATTTTTGTGATGTTTTGAATATTGCCTGTGACTGGGACACCCAAAGCTAACAATTTTTGCACACCCTTGTAACAAATATACACCCCAGCTGTGTTGTAATTTATGAACCATTAAAAATTATCTTGTGAGGGTTTGTGGTGAATCTGATGTAGACTATATGAAGCATCATGTAGTTTAGTGCCAGTAGGATTTTTTCAAGTTCTTTTTCTGCATGACATGAGTTTGATGAGGGGCTTAAAGGGAAAGTATTACTGTTGCCCTGTTTCAATTTAACTTAAATATTTCAGCAACTCCCTTGATCATCAACATGGCAGCACATGAAGCACCTGAGCTGGAAGTGGAAGAGCCCCCTCCAAAGCCTCCTGACAAAAGCAAGCTGGAAAAAGACAAAAATTTGTTGACAGAACAAATAAAAAATTTAGAGGATCAACTGGTAAGAGCTTGTGCCAACTGATGTTTCTTTGTCATTTTTTATGGTCCACTTCCATGTATGTGTCTGTTTGGACAAAACTGCATCTACTAAAGCAATGTTTTGCAAAAATATTATTTTTGTAAGTTACAACACAGCATAGGCGTGAAAACGCCCTTTGCCAAATGTCATCACTGGGCAGCCTTTCACCCTGCTACGGCCTCCTTCCTCGCCAAGATGGGCTGACCCAGTCTGATCCAGCCTGACCCCGACCACTGTCGGCTGGCCGAGCCCCGACGGCCCGTGTGCCCGCGCCGTCGGCGGTCGGCGCTCAGCAGCAGTGCGGTGGTCGTGACCCGCGGCCTGTGCCGACGCTGATTGTTGCGTGTGCCCGCGCCGTCGGCGGCGGCGCTCCGCAGCAGTGTGGTGGTCGTGACCCGCGGCTTATGTCGACGCTGAGTGTTGCGTGTGCCCGCGCCGTCGGCAGCGGTGCTGTAAGACCAGCGGCGCGGCGGCCGGCCGGCTGCAGCAGCTGGAGACGGCGCGGCGCGAGCTGTGCGAGCTGCACCGACAGACGGACGAGCGGCTGCAGGCGCTGGCGCCCCGCATCACCGAAACGGTCAGCACCGGCGCCAGCATCTGCTCCGGGGGCTCACCGAGGCCCCACCGTCCCGTGGACATCTGGCATTAGTCCATGTTAGCCAACTCCTTTGCAGCCCAGCCTCCGAGCTGTCCGCTGACGGTGGGCGATGTTAGATTAGTGATCCACGCAGGTATCTGCGAAACTCTAAACAGGCGCAGTGTCGTGCGCCTGGTTTTCTGTAGGACCACGGACAGGCTGTCTTTGGCGTGATTTGAACTCGAGTCTCAGTGTTCGAGATGGAACGCCCCGCCGACCAGACCTCTGACGTCACACCGATCTTTTGGCGGACACTGTCTGGGCTCTGACGTCACACCGATCTTTTGACGGACACGGTCTGGGCTCCAGCGGCACGCGATCTTCAAGCTGCGCGACAAGCTCAAGTACCGGACGGCGCAGCAGGTGGACGATGCCGTGCTGCGGCTCGAGAAACAAGTACAAACGCAAAATTTCAAGCTCAGGGAGGAGGAGAAGGTGGTCCGTGAGATCAACGACCTGAAAAAATCCAAACGAACGCTTCGCGAATACGACGCCAAAAAGGTAGCGGCACTCGGGATAATCATGGCCTCGCAACGGGACCGGGCCTTGCGCATGCGTAACTCCTCGGTCGGGACGGCATCTTATCCCCGATTCACACATTGTTTTCTGTCCAGTTGCCCAGTGTATGTTCCCGGTCGCGCTACTGATGCATGTCTCCAACTCGTTTCTTCAGAAAGAGCTGGACGCGCTGACCCAGAACCAGCGGGGCCTGCGGTACGAGCGTGACCGTCTGTACGGGGAGATCGACAAGAACAAGCGGGAGGAGGAGCGGATCCACCGCGAGGCACAGTCCACTGCGGCCAGCATCAAAATGCTGGACGAAGGTTAGTGTCGCACGTGTCACCACAGTTGCTGGCATCATGGACACCATCCTTTGCGATGGCGTAGTTGAAATGCTCACGCTTAGGATGCATTGTTTCGCCGTTGATGCTGTTAAATAGATAGAACAGAGTTAACGCAATCGTATTATAAATAGTGCAGCGGTGACAGCGTTTGACTGCCAATCTGCGCATTAGTTGCCTGCTCGTCGGTTGGCCCTGACGCAGCACCGCACCATCAGCCGTTTGGCGTCGCCGCGCCGCCGCGAGATGGGCCGGCGGTGCCCTTGAGGCGCGTCCCTCGCGTAACGGCGCCACCGCCATCCCGTCCGGCAGAGCTGGACGGGCTGCGGCGTCAACGACAGGCGCTAGACGCCCTTTACCAGGAGAGGCTGGACGCCTGGCAGGCGTGGCAGCGGCAGGCGGGCGGGCGCCGGCGCCGACCGCCGCGCGAGGAGCCGGCGCGACCGCCGCCGCCGCCGGCGGCCGCCGCGCCCCGCCAGCCGCCCGAGCCGTTCCTGCAGGAGCTGAGCACGTGCGTCCTGCTGCTGACGTACCTGCAACGGCTGTCGCACACGCCGGGCACCACTCCGGCCACACCCTCGGCCCATCTGATGCCCTCCGGTCAGTCCCCGGTCGCTGCCGCCCTAAAGTGGTGGGCACGGTTCTGGGAGGCGGGACCTTGGGGTGGTCGGGCAACTCTTGCAGGGTAGACACATTGGGTTCTTGTGATCGTTTGCCTTAACGGGGCGCAACGGAAGAGTTGGCTCTATGCCTTAAGGGGGCGCAACGAAAGAGTTGGATCTATAGAGTGCGTGCTTCTGCGTAGCACTACCATCGAAGCTGCTTGTAGGGATCGGTAGATTGGGAATTTTGTTCAGTAGTGGGTAGAACTGCGATGTTATGTTGCGTAGACGGGAAACCAAAATGTCTGAATGCATTTGGTTCTGCGTCCTGAGGCTGTGACGTGGTGGTTCCCTTCGGTGAATGACCCCATTGCACAGCGGCCAGCTGGGCCGTCTCGCCCGGTCTGTGACAGCGCTCCGTGTGAGCCGCCGCTGACCTCCGGTGAACCTGACCTCTGACCCACCGCTGACCTCCGGCGAACCTGACTGACCCACCGCTAGCCGGCGAACCTGACCCCTGACCCACCGCTGACCTCCGGCGAACCTGATCTCTGACCCGTTGCTGACCTCCGTTGGACATGACCCCTGACCCACCGCTGACCTCGGCGGTCTGACCTCTGACCCGGCCGGGCCGCTCTCGTGACGCAGGCGGCTCCACCCCGCTCAGTCCGCGCACGCCGCTGGCTGATGCCGGCCAGACGGAGATTCCGGACGCCGACGGCGGGCCCACCATGTTCCTGCTGCGCCGGAAGGAGGAGGAGCCGCCGCCGCCGCCCGGCCGCGCTAGGCGGCGCCGGGAGCGACGCGGCTCGCAGCGGGTGCGTGGTCCGCCCCATCTGCCAGCTGGCTGGCTGGCCTGGGTCTCGTCGGCCGTGCGTCTCGTCTCCCGACCGGTTGCGGTCACGAGTGCTGCTGCGTGACGGAGTGGCCGGTCGGAGAGCCGTCCTGTGGCTGCTCTAGTGCGCCTTTAAGAGTGCTTCGTAGTCTCAGAGTGTTATAGAGGATGTCGATTGTGCCCGGAGCTCTTGAAGCCTCGCGTCGTACCGCTTGCTTTTACCCTTAAAAAGAAGTGGTTGTTGGCGTATTGTGTTATGTACAGTTCTTGGCATGCGTGCTGGCTGCTCGCATCTGAAAATACGACAGTTTTTCGAGTGTTTTCTTGCCATTGACTGGAAACATGCCGAGTGCAGTTTCCTGTCCCTCGTATAACCTTCGCTGCATGCTTGATGTAACCTCGAAGGCCCACAGCTTCCTTTGTGGTGCTGCAGAAGCTGGCATTGCCTGACAAAATCGCAACAACTTAAGAACAACTTAAGGATGTCATCACAATCGCTCCCTATTTTCGCACTCGCCCTGGCCGGCTTTGTCCGTCGGTGCTGACCCCTGCCCGGATGATGACCTGGTGTTGACCTCGGCCCGGTGCTGACCTCGGCCCGCAGGCGCGGCCCCTGACACACACCTCGGAGGTGTTCCACCAGTTCTGCCTGCTCGACCTCCAGCCGCCGACGTCGCACAAGGAGGTGCCCGCCGCAGTGGAGCAGGTCAAGGCCAAGCAGGTCAGTCGGCCGAACCGAGCCGTGCAGCCGGACCGGCTATGCTGGCGCATGACGTGGTAGAGCTCAGCCTTTGGTGCTGCTCAGTTGTATGTAATCACAGTGGCCAATCTGTTTGTTTTATTTTGTTTATGAATTGCAATGAACCTTTCTTATAAGGAGCATTGTTGTGGTGGTGGGACGGCGGAATTGTCTCGACGGTTGGTGACGTTCCCCTGCATTTACCGCTAAATGTTTAGCCTACCCCGGAGTGCTTGCTGTTCCAGAAATACTTCCAGATGTGCGCTCAGAAGGCGAGGCAGGACCGCTGCGAGAGAGCGGCCATCTCTGGCGGCGGCGGCGGCTCCGTGCCGCACCTCACACTCCGGCTCAACTCGACGTCACTGGGTGACGCACCGACCCGCACGCCGCCGCCGGGCGAGTTGGTCACGCTGCACAGCATCGGCGTCCAGCTACCCTACCAGATGACGATGGCGGCGCCGGCCTCCTACCAGCCGCAGTTGTCGCTCGAGAGCAGCGCCTCGTGCCCGGCCGCCATGCCGTCCGCAGAGTCGGCCTCGTCGCGGCCGTCGAGCCGCGACAGCGGCGTGCCGTCGGCGCCGCTCAGTGCCGAGGCTACCGAGGCCGAGCGCGACCCGTTTGCTGAGGCTCTGCAGCGCCGGCTGGGCACCGGCGCCAGCGACGCCCAGCACCAGCCACAGACACTAGAGGTTCCCATCGCCGCGCGGGAGGGCAGCATCAGCGCCACTTGAGAGGCGCGCAGCAGACCCCGGGAGAGTTCATTTGAGCAGTTTTACGGAACATGGGTGTGTTGCTGGAGGCGGAATTCTTAATTTATTGTTCCCAGGACTTCTTGCACTGGTACGCTACCGTGTGAATTATGTGTTACATATGGTATTCATGGAAACGTTTCGCAGTGCATTTGAGCATTCCTTGGTCAGTAATCAGTATTGCTCTACCATCTACGTACTTGTCCCGTGAATCGTTGCATCACTGCCAGCCCCTTCAACACGTGTCAGCGTGTCGTCGCAAAGCATATATCATGGCGGGTGACAGCCTGGGAGGGAGTGGAGGAGTGGGAGGGAGGGGGCGATAGCCAGAGAAGTTCACCGGCACAGCGGTTTTGAGAACGGGGTTACTCGGCATGAAACACTTCTACGGGATTGCGCCGCCAGATGCAGAGCGTTTCATCGCTGTTTGCCAACTGAAATAGTATGTCATACGCGTGTCGACGTTCGAGCATGTACTGCCTCCCACGGACTGTGACCTGGAATGTAGGCCTGGTGTGAAGCGCATGCCCCACAGGTCTCCTGGCTGTCTTGAAGGTGTGTGCGTAGCAACGTGCAGCCCGCTGTCCCGGTGATACGATTTTATAAGAGCACGTGCGAGCGTGCAATGAATTGGACCGTTAGCTGTAAAGAGCGACCGCTGAAGCGACGAACGTCGTCGAGTGCTCGCTGCTGATAGGCTTCCGAGTCACAATGTGGTAAACTGTGACGCGAGGCTATTGATATGAAGTGAAATGTCATTAGTTAACGGAATTCCTTTCGCTTCAGTGTAGAGTTTCTCGCTCAACTTCGTGGCAACACAAATTTGCTGAAGTGATTCTTAAAAAATATTACGTATCGTATGTGTTTATTCGAGCAGTGTGAGATAACCAGCCGCGGCGTCTCATGTAAAAACGCCGCAACGGTATATGTTTACATGAATAGCCTCAGGTCGTACTGGACGGGTCACACGCATACAACGAGCCTTCGGCGCCGACGCTGGAGCCATGTGCGGACCGAGCGGGGCTGGGGCCTGGCTTGGGCGACATGGCAGGGGTATTCCACGGTCCGGGCACCTGACACGGCGCAACGGTCACACGTCAGCTGGGTTGTGTTTCCACCGACCATCAAGCATGAAGCTGCGCTGTGTGCGACGTGTTCTTTGATTTCGCTGTCTGTTCTGTACTTGTTTAGAGAGATGACGTTGACCTGCGGTTGTCAATGCAATGATCTGGGCTGTGCCGATCGAATCGCGTTGGGTCGAAACCGATTACTTTTGAGCGAGAACGTGGTGATGTTCTTAACAAGCGATCAAACAGCATTGTTTGCTCGGCATCCTCCGCCAGGAACAATATATTCGCCCTGATCCTTACCGTTTGCTGCCCCGGTCGTAACGGATGTTTTCTTGCTGTTGCTATCACAGTGTGTCGACGAGCTGTATCTGCCGCTGTTGGACACGCAATCCATCATGTTTTGAGTACTTTCATTCCCTTTCATATATCTATGTATGATATCCGTATTGTGCATTGTTCGTGGATGTTGTTTGTTCTGTGACGCTTTCTTTGGTAGGGTGTGCCCGCGTCCGGTTTCGCGAGTTTGCTGTAGCCGAAGGTCTACATTGCAGTATCAATCGCATTTGATGAGCGCGCCGCGGTCTTGCGTCTGACGCGGCGTCGCGTTGGCCGTTCACGCCATGCGCGGTGCAGTTTCCCGTCTGGTTGCATACCGGCGCTTCTGGTTACGACGCCTGGCACGTTCCCGCCATCTGAACCTGTATCCAAGTGCGTGCATTCCGTGTACTGGCGAGCACTTACAAATGAGGTACACGAGTTCAGCTGTGTTTGCCCGTGTGTCTATTGGAATCCACTACATGAATGCAATACATGACATGAGCGCACTGTACACGGCTGGGTCGGCGACGATTGCTGCGTAGCCGAGGCTCGCTGCACGCTGCTGCCGGGACTGGTCGGGAGGGCATACGAAACCTGCCACGCCACGTGCAGGCCGCCGGCAACCGGGACTTGGGAGGGCGCACAGCACCTGCCACACCACGTGCAGGCCGCCGGCAGCCGGGCTCGCCACGTCCCACGATGCTCCAGACGACAGTCGAGCTCGGGGCTGGTGAAGTATGGGTAAATACCGGTAAATCCGATATATTTGGCTGACTGTGGTTTCCAAACATGCTATGGTAACTTGGAAGGACACGATGAAAAGTGGTTGGCCGTTTGCGCGACGTCTGTGGATTCTTAATCTCGCTTTCAGATTATCAAACATCTGTTCACGGGACGATTATAAACGTTGCTCGAATGCATGATTGTAACGCTTCGTTCTTGTGGGTAGCGTTCTTCCTTTCACCAACGTCCATCAGACAACGGGCGCGAAAAGGTAGCTATATTCGGTCGAGGTCCCCTTCACGAAGTGCAGCGTCACGACACTGGTCGTCGGGTCGCGTTCGCTTCTCTCTGACCGTCACTACCCGTCTGACGCTACGCAGGATGCGTCAGGTTATAAACGGTGGGGCCGCTGGGGGGCGCAGGCGTGCGGCCTCCAAACACTGGGGATGGGGCGTTCTTGAGCCTTCGACGTCGTGCAACTCTAATGCGCGTGTAAGCCCGCATGAAGCAGCAGCAGAGGCGCGCTATGTCGCAACCCTTGCAAAAAGCAACTACGGCTACGGGTACCCACATCCGGCTTATCAAATAATTATCATACAGAGTAAGCAAGGCAATGCATCTGCGTCAAACGAGGCGGTCTGAGTGCGTTGTTTGCGTGAGCGAGCCGAGCGTCCCACTGACGCGTTGGCAGTGGTGCAGTACCGACGCGTATTCGGTTAAGCGTTACATGATGCTTGCGAAAAATTTAAAATTTGTACAGTATAAGTGGTTGCTCGAAGCTAAGATGCGTGTTAAAAGTCCGCAATGCATAATAAGCCTTACCTATCAATCGGTAAGTAGTGGCTCCAAGCCCAGATATCCACAATGAGTTGAGTCCGTACAACTATAATCTAAGCATTTATTAGCATCCAAGCACAATGGGATAGCCGGTGAACTTCTGTGCCGGTGAACTTCTTTGGATACCGCCCCCTCGCTCCCACTCCTCCGCTCCCTCCCAGGATGTCACCCGCCATGATATATGCTTTGCGACGACACACTGACACATGTTGAAGGGGCTGGCGGTGATGTAGCTTTTCACGGGACAAATAGGTAGAAAGGAGAGCAATGCCGACTATTGACCAAGGAATACTAAAATGCACTGCGAAACATTTCCATGAATACCATATGTAAAACATAATTCACACGGTAGCGTACCAGCGAAGAAGTCCTGGGAACAATAAATTAAGAATTCCGCCTCTAGCGACACACCTATGTTCCGTAAAACTGCTCAAATGAACTCCCCCGGGTCTGCTACACATCCTTCAAGTGGCGCTGATGCTGCTCTCCCGCGCGGCAATGGGCACCTCTAGTGTCTGCGGCTGGTGCTGGGCGCCGCTGGCGCCGGTGCCCAGCCGGCGCCGCAGCGCCTCGGCGAACGGGTCGCGGTCGGCCTCGGTTGCTTCGGCGCTGAGTGGCGCCGACGGCACGCCGCTATCGCGGCTCGACGGCCGCAACGAGGCCGACTCTGCGGACGGCACGGCGGCCGGGCACGAGGCGCTGCTCTCGAGCGACAGCTACGGCTGGTAGGAGGCCGGCGCCGCCATCGTCATCTGGTAGGGTAGCTGGACGCCGATGCTGTGCAGTGTGACCAACCCGCCCGGCGGCGGCGTGCGGGTCGGCGCTTCACCCAGTGACGTCGAGTTGAGCCGGAGTGTGAGGTGCGGCACGGGGTCGCCGCCGCCGCCAGAGGTGGCCACTCTCTCGCAGTGATCCTGCCTCGCCTTCTGAGCGCACATCTGGAAATATTTCTGGAACAGCAAGCACTTAGGGGTAGACTAAACGTTTAGCGGTAAATGCGGGGAACGTCGCGAAATGCTCAGACATTCTGCCGCTCAACCACCACAACAACGCTCCTGATGAGAAAGCTTCATTACAATTTAACTTCATTAGCTTATCTTTAGCTTCAAAGCTTCACTGCACCCCATAAAGAGCTCTGGGCACGACCGACATTCTCCTAAATCACTCCGAGACCTCGAAGCACTCCTAAAGGCAACTAGAACAGCTACAGGACGGCTCCCACCGGCCGCTCCATCCCGCAGCAGTCTCGTGATTTTGCATTCCCAACCCCTCTCGGTTCGCAACTGGCGGCATTTGGCCTTGCGCTCTCTTAATTCGAAGCTACAGACTTTGGTTGTTGAGGGCATTAACGAGGAACATTATCCACATAGATGCGACAGTAATATTAGCCTTATTCCTCGGAAAAGAACAGGAGAAAGGAGATATGGTTGCGTTCATGTTACGGCAACATACCGTTATCAAAACAGTTGCAGAGGCTATTGTGTGTAGCTGCGGAATGTTGCAATTAATTCACGCTTCTGCTATTGTTTCGATATAGGCATGTTGCCGAAATATCGATCCAAATATATCTCCATTCTCCTGTTTTTTCCGAGGAAGAAGGCAAATATTGCAGTCCTGTCTATCGACTTCAGCTTCGGCTTCGCGAGTGAGAAAATCAAAGTCAACGGCTTCAGTTTGGGATGTTCTTTTAACCAGTATCTGTTTGGACGGGCTTGCAGCTAAACTACAGGGAGGTCGGTTGTTGAACTGGGAATAGCCAAGCAAAAGTTCCGGTAAGATAATGCAAGTTTCGGACTCGGACTAGAGCGGTGAGAGGGTCAGCACAACCCTTAAATTTTCACATAGATGTTGCAGTTGTCACGTCTTGGCCAGTTTGGACGGTCTTCCAGCCAACCTGCAGGGAGGTGTGTCACTGGACCGAGACAACTTCGACCGGGCGGCCCCCAGTCGCTCCCACCGCTTTAACAATGTGTAGTTCAGCCCGAAAACGATGGATGGGTCGACACAGCTCTAAACTTTCTACATGCATTTACACCTGTCACGTTTGGGGTTCTGGCAGCTTAACTTCAGGGAGTTGCCCTATTAGACCGGGGGTGATCACGCTAAAGGTCCGGTCCGATAATGCAAACTTTGGTCCTAAAAGCGACAAGGCGGTCGGCAGAACCTTGCAGTTTGCGCCAGTCTTAGCGTTCTTGCATCTGAGCTGTAGGAGGTACGTGATTGGACCAGAGGCAATCAAGTAGAACTTGGGGTAAGATAATGCGATTTTCTGACCTTAAAAAGCTAGGACGTTCGACACAGCTTAACATGCTTCATATACATGCCCACGCATCACATTCGGGTCAATTCGCGTGGTGTTGCAGCTAATCTGCTCACCACGTCCTTTCAGCTCGCGCCCGTGTGTCTCGGCGTACTCGGTTGCCGGGCCACTTCGCCCCTGTCCTCCGCTGACCCGCCATTGTGTGCTGACTATGCATCACGTGTGAAGTAGTGTAGGCCTCCGTGAACATTACTGCAATGTCTACCGTTCATACATGATGCCATTCGAGGCCTACGATCCCTTACTTTAGGTGTTGTTTCATAGATGTATTCATTCCTCAGTCGCAGGTATGCGTTCCTGAACTGGGCTACCCAAATGTGTTTGTATCTTGGAACGAAGGCTCTGCCTATGCCACGTTGTGTCGAAATGGCGAAGAGAACAGACACAAAGTCTGGACGTTTTCCCGCCATCTAGTGGCACGCCGTGAGGTTCTGATCCGCTACGGGTGGTGGCTCTGACCTGTACGGGCAGTTGGCACATTCACATGCCGATTTTCAGTCGCCCTGCGCTCCGTGACCTTCGCACAATATCCGATTTCACTGGATGGCGAGTTCCAACCACTGGTGGCGCAGTATCAGCACCAGCAGCGTGCCGCCCACCCTGCTTCGGCGCCTGGCAACGGGCCTGGGCGCCGTATCCAGGGCCTTTTTATAGCTGCGGGCCGGACCGCCAGGGCGGGCGAGTACTGCGTTTCACGTGAAGTAGGCCGGCGGAGCCAGTGCGGTGGCGGCGGTGCTAGAGGTGACCAGCAGAGGCTGACGAAACAGGCCGTGTGGTAAAGCCGACGCCCATCTCACATCCCGAGCCCGCCCAGGTTTGGTGGGAGCACTTCTGGCGCCGGTGAGTGGCATCCCGCTTACTAATGTTTCTTTGGCGCTGTTTTGTGTTCAGCTGCTCTAGCTTGGATGAGCCAGGGCTCCTTCCGGTGGTTGGACCCGATTCTTTTGCATTATCTGGCGAACAACATCGTCATCCTGCAGGGCGACCAGGGCGTTCAGACTTATCCAAGCTGTAGTTGCTAAATAAACAATAGCCTCATAAAAACAGGAAACGCTAATGCCCAACAGTTTAATGCGATATTTCATTTCGTTTCTGGCCATGCAAACATTATACACATACACACGTGCACACACACACACACATATATTTATGTGTGTGTGTATGCATACACACACACACACATATATATATATATATATATATATATATATATATATATATATATATACATATATGCATTTATAGGTACTCTCTGTTGATGACGTCAAAAATGGCATAATGACAGAAATTCGTGCGATAAGACGACAAAGCTTTGCAGCCCTTGTACAATTTTTCGATTAAACGACTGTATTCTGCTACTGATCAAACGACACCTCTGCTATTGTTTTGATAAGGGCATGTTGCATAATTATCAACGTATCTATATCTCCATCCTCTTGGTTTTTCTCCGAGGAAAACTAGGAGAATGGAGACATGAAGAAGGCTATCACTACTGTGATACAAAGAAGGCTATTACTACTGTCTCATGTATGTGAATAATGTTCCTCGCAAATGCACATAGCGACTATATCATGTAGCTGCAGTAGGATGTTCCTAAGTGGTGATGTAAACTAAAGTTTGATTGCTGACTCCGTCCTCGGAAAACCATGTTTTTCCGCCACGAAATGCAATTTCCAAACATGATTACACCCTCGATCGTTAGGAGCTTCGATTTCCGGAATCGTCGTTTAATTCCACATGGGGAACATTCAATGAATAAGTGAGTACTCGCTGTACACCTGTGCAGTGCGGATGCGATCATAGCCGTAGAGACGGCCGCTGTGCGTTGCTCGCGGCCGGCCGGCTGCGCGCGGTGCTCAACCCCCGCTGGTCGGCTAGCCCGACTCTGCAGAGGCTGCCGGCAGTTGCCGTTCTCCCACCGTACTGGTCCAAGCAGGCGACTCAAGACAGCTGGAGTCATTTAAAACTGAAAGCGTCGCGGTTTTCCCACGCCCGGTCCCGACTGTGGAATCAAGTCCGATGGGCCTGGCCATATATCCCTGGTTTAGTCAACGAGTCCGGATGTGGTGAGTTCATTGCATCAGAGTCCCTTTGCAAGACTTGCTTTCTGCATTCGGTGCTTAGCTCATCACCGACTGAGACAAGTTCCAGACGCGAACAGCGACCAACACTTAACCTCTTGGTAAAGGATTGCAGCCCTTTATTGGTCGCTTTGTGCTTAAGATTAAATGCGACCTTTCAAACCATACCATTAGAAGTGTATGAACGCTCTATAGTCACTATGCACGTAGGACCGTCTATCTTGACATCAAATAGCCTCAGCAGCTGGGGTCACCGTAAATTCCTAATGAGAGCAGCCGTTCAGGTGCTGCAGTGACATTTCTTGGCTGTTTGTGTTATCAGCGCTCCTCTGGTCGCTCACAGACTGTTTAGGTGACCAGGGCTCTTCTTGCCACTGAGGGACCCTTCGTGTTTGTGAGGAACCTCCGATGAGCGGGTCCTCCGCAGACCGCTGGGGGCTTCGCTAGTAGCCCAGGTTCCTTTGGTAACGAAGAGGAGCCTTTGGTCGCTCGAGGCCTTTTTGACCACTCAAGTGCCGGTTTCGTCGCTGATGGCCACCGGCCGCTCATCGACCCGTTTAGACGCCAAAGGGCGCAACTATATCCTCGCGACCCTTTGGACGCCTGGGACCTTTTGACCGGTCAAGGGACGTCTTCTACCACCCAAGAACTGTAGGGCCCTTTGGCCTCTTCTGACCGTTCAAGGGCGCTCTCGACGCCCAGGGCTCTTACTAATCGCCAAAGTCTGTGTTACCTGACCAGTGCCTGCTCCTCTGGCCATGCCAGGGCGTTTTAACTTCTCAGCTGCTTGTCTGACTACTGAGGCGCCGGTCTGGCCAGCGAAGACTTCTCTAGCTACTGAGATACCCCTCTGGGTTTTTAGGGCCCACAGTCCACTTTTAAGGCACAGAAAGTCCTTGCATATACGCTGAACCTTTAGACACTTGTAGTCCTTATTTACTGCACGGAGCCCGTTTCGCCATTTTGACCCTGTTGACACGGAGAGGAGCTAACGCTGGGATGTTATCGTGCCGATGGCAGCCTGCAAATGAAGCTATTTGTGAACTTGCTTGGAATTGCTTTGCACGTTTGGTCAGATTGAAGTGCATGACTACGGAGGGGCTTGGCCCTGGATCGGCTGGTAAAATCCGAGTGAGGTCAGATAGGCTGTGCTACAAAACCTCTCGAAAGGGCTAATGATTCACATGTAATTTAATAATTATATTATATAATATAATTTCATATAATTAATTACATAATCTATTATTATATATGCGATATAATTTTATCATAAATATCTTGGATGAGATTTTGTTACTTTCAATGCGGTGCTGATGATAACCCCTGTCAAAGGGGGTGTTCCATATTTATACGGGGCTTTGAGCTGGCCAAGCCGTTTTGAAGATCATTCAGTGCAATTCACAGCCCATATCTTCGAGGGGCCATACCTCCTCTCAGTGTTGAGCTGGGCGCCTGCAATTGGGCTGGACCTTCGCAATGGGGAACCAGTCCCCAATGCTCTTTCAGTTCTTTAAAGACAATGCAAAATTCTACACTCGAAGTTTGGCAAAATGCGACAAAAACCAAAACAAAGCTTATATTTGTATTTGTCCCTAAGTTGTCACTAATATAATCAACGAACTGTTTGCCTCCCAATTGTTTGTACTGTGCTTGTGAAACGGTAGCCTAGGCCCGACCAGGTCTTTGAAACGGTTCAGGCGCAGACCGGAGTCGCGGTGGATATATGGATTCTGGGAGGGACCAAGCATTCTTAGAAGAGGCAGCTGTCCTGAAATAAGAAAAGATAAAAACGAAAAATTGTGAAAAGGCAGCACCCCATGAACTCGCCTCCCTTCGCTTTCGCCGCCTGGGCTTTTGGCTCCTTTCGCTGTCGTTTGATGCGCCGTCGGACAACTCTTTCTTAGAGCGCGGTGCATCACGGTCTACAAACTATCGCCCGTGCCGGTCTCTACCTACCTATGAATGTTAAACAAGCTTGTTAAGTGTTTAACGTAAAATGTTAAACGTTAAATGTTAAACGTTAAATGTTAAACGTTAAATGTTAAACGACGTTAAACGGACAAGCTTTGATCCTCCTGGACACGCACATGCACCTAAGCGACTGTCGTAAGCTTCCCTTGCACACCTACGCATCGGTGGCATAGAGCAACGCAGTCCGGCCGTCCTGCTTTTTGCGAATGGCCCCAAAGGCTTATGTGTCCATGCGTCCCAAGGAAGAAGAGGAAGGGGGGGGGGGATGTCGCCCGACACAAATGACAAATGTTCCCTGAGAACTGAAGGCAGTGCTACAGGAGTGCAAGGTTTATTGCGTGCCGAAAAATAATGCGCATGTTCTCGATCATCACTACATCGCTGTCAACATTTAGACCCGCGCGTAGCCATACATTTCAGAAGTTTGGAAAGGGAGAAACGTGCCCGTCTCGTCCACGGACATGGACCCTCAGGGCCAGACCAACACGGAGCTGACTGCTTGATTTTGGTGCTGCCTGACCGATTGAAAGGCCCTTCACCGACTCGGAGGCCCCCAATCAGCGTGAAAAGCCGCCTGACTGGCATTTAAGGGTCGGGCCCTCAGCGCCGGACGGGACACCAAATGCGATCCACGGTCACCACTTTGAGCCCTTCGGGGTGTCATTTTGTACACTTTCACGGCTGGGAGGGACTGAGCCCTCCTTCGCTGACTTAACCCCCTCAGTACAATTAGTGATTATATTTTAGATTTGAGTGACTTAGTGATTAGATTTTAGAAAGTGACACCCCTGCTTTGGGCCCTCAAATCGTGCTCTTAACTGTCGGCCGTTGGACCCAAGGAAGGCGGACACGTACCTCTACGCTTTAGAACTTAAGAAATAGTCTGAATGCTCATGTCCTATCCGTCTCACACCGCAAACGGATAGGCAACTACCCATGGAGGCGTGTGTTAACCGCTTCTGCATGCGCACATACTTATACCCGAGCACCCCATCGGCGTGGGGAATCGTGCTTGTTCGCATCTCTGATTACGAATCAGAGCGGTCGAGGGGATTTACGGAGCAATAGGCATTTCGCATCTGGGGCCATCAGCACACAACAGCTTGAGAGGCTGAACAGAGAAGGTCTGGAGTGTGGGCTGACTTATATCAGCCATAGCCCCGTCCCCACTGCCATGGCCCACCACCAAAATTTACGCTCCGCTGTCCATGTCAGCAACGTGAGATGTTTCAGTCTCATCGTAGTTCAATTTGCAGTCAATTATGAATTCATGTGCATTCAGTATAAGTCAATTTGCAATCAAAACGATGAAGTCAACTTGTCTCTGTTCAAAGATGTAGCAAAATCCTCCATATTCTACTGCAGACTGTCCTGGGG